TGGACTTCCTCAAAATTTAAAGCTTTTATGCAACAAAGGATATTATCAAGAGAGAAAATTTGGTATATATACAAAATGGAGTTTAATTTAGTCATAAAGAAAATGAAGCCGGTGTGGTGGCACACACCTGTAATCCCTGTGGCTTAGGTGGCCATGACAGAAGGAATTGCAAGTTCAAAGCCAGCCTTGGCAACTTAGTGAGGCCCTAGGTAACTTAGCGAGACACTGTCTCAAAATAAAAAGGATTGGGGATGTGGCTTGGTGGTTAAGTACCCCTGGCATTTGCAGGAAAATGGATGGAACTTTACAACATTATGTAAAGTGAAATAAACCAAACTCAAAAAGTTAAGGGTTGTTATGTTTTTGCTCATGTAGAAGAGGGGAAAAAGGAAAAGAAAGGTATATGTGGAGGGTAAATCTCATGAAAATCAAAGTAAGATCAGTAGAGAAGAGGGAAAAGACCAGGGGGAGGGAGGAGGGAAGGGAAAAGCAAAACACCGGGGAATGATACTGGTCAAATTATACTCTTATATCGTGCACATGTACAAATATATAACAATGAACCCCATCATTATGTACAATCATGATACACTAATTAAAATATGGAAAATAAAAAATCAAAAGAAGGGCTGGGATTGTGGCTCAGTGGTAGAGTGCTTGCCTAGCACGTGTGAGGCCCTGGGTTCTATCCTCAGCACCACATAAAAATAAATAAGCAAAATAAAGATATTAAAAACAATAAAAAGAATATTATAAAGAAACTGAAAAGACAACATTCAAAATAAAATAAGAAAATAAGTGATAAGGGTTTACTGTGTTAGCTTTTCATCACTGTAAAAAATACCTGCGATGATCAATTTAAAAGAGAAAAGGTTGCTGGGGATGGTGATGCATTACTATAACCCCAGTGATTCAGGAGTTTCAGAGCTCCCTCTGTCACTTAGTGAGACTGTCTGAAACATCTTTAAAAAGGGAGAGATATGAATGTAGCATGTATCTCAGTGGTCAAGGAGTCTTGGATTCAATCCTCAGTAACAAAAAAAAATGGGAAAAAATAAAATAGAGAAGATTTATTTTGGCTCACTGTTTTAGATGTTTCAGTCTATGATCATTAAGGTCTATTGCTCTGGGCCTGTGGCAATACATCATGGTAGGAACATGTAGCAGATCAAAACTCTTCACCTCATGGCTGGGATACAACCAAACCAAACCAAACCAAACAAACAAAAGATAGTGGAAGAGTGAAAGATTGGTATCTCAGTATCCCTTTTAAGGGCACATATCCAATGATTTAAATATCTTCCATTGGATCCCACTTCTTAAAGTTTTCACCCCCTCTGAATAGCATCTCATTGGGAACCAAGCCTTGGAGAACACTGAAAATCCACAGTGTAGCAAATATTCAGAATATATAAAGAATTCCTCCAGCTCAATAATAACAAAAACGAACAACCTATCTTACCTTACTTTCTGCTGCTATAAAAGAATACCCAAGAGTAGGTGAATTCTAAAAGCCAGAAATTTATTGGCTGAGAGTTGTGGAAGCTGAGAATTTCAATATTGAGAAGCCAGCATCTGGCAGATGTCTTCTTGCTGCATCATCACATAGCAGAAGTAAGAGTATGAAAGGAAAATAAAGAGGACTCAACTCACCCTCTTATAACAGACCCACTCCCACAATAACAGCACCAATTCTTTTATGAGGGCAGAGCCTTAATAGCCTTATTACCTCCCATTAGGTCCCACCTCCCAGTGAATGCTTTTGCATTGGGTGTTAAGTTTCTCACACTTGCTTTTTTGTTCACACTCAAACCACAGCATTCTACCATTTCCCTCAAAACTTACTTCCTGCTCCCATGAAAAATATGTACATTCTATTCTGATATTCCCAAATCTTAACAGTCCAGTACCAACTCAGAAGTTCAAAAACCAGAGTCACATTTAAATCAGATATGGGGCTAGCTGGGGATGGTAGTACACAGTTGTAATCCTAGAAACTAGGGAGGCTGAGGCAGGAGGATTGCAAGTTTGAGGCCAACCTGGGCAACTGAGTGTGACCTTGCCTTAAAATAAAAATTAAAAAGTCATGGGGGTGTAGCTCAGTTGTAGAGCACCCCTGGGGTTAAATCCCCAGTGACAGACATACACACACACACACACACACACACACACACACACAATCAGATTTGGGTGAGACTCAAGGCATGATTCATCCTGAGATAAATCCCCTCTAGCTATGAGCCTGTGGAATCAAACAAGTTATCTAGTTCCAAATTACAATGGTGTGACGGGCTCAGAACAGATATTCCTATTCCAAAAGAGAGCAATGAGAAAGAAGAAAAGGGTGGCAGGTCCAAATAAGTGTTCAAGAAGGCAAATGACCCCCCTCTCCCCTATCCCCCTCCCCCTCCCTCTTCCCCCTCCCCCCTCCTCCTCCTCCTCCTCCTCCTCCTCCTCTCTCTCTCTCTCTCTCTCTCTCTCTCCCACCCACCCTTTCTCTGGTACTGGAGATTGAACCCAGGTATGCTCTACCACCAAACTACATCCCCAGTCATTTGGGGAGTGATACCAGGGATTGAACCCATGGGCACTTAACCACTGAGCAACATCCCCAGCCCTTTTTATTTTTTTAAATTTTGCATAGAGTCTAACTAAGTTGCTTAGGGCCTCACTAAGTTGCTGAGGTGAACTTGGAACTTGCAATCCTCCTGGCTAAGCTTCCTGAGCCACTGGAATTATAGGTGTGCATCACCATACCCAGAAACCAGTCATTTTTATTTTCTGTTTGAAACAAGGTCTCCCTAAATTGCCAAGGTTGGCCTTCAACTTGTGATTCTCCTGCCTTGACCTCCTGGATTGCTGGGATTATAGGTGTGAGCCACCATGCCCAGCACAACCAACCAAACATTAATACTCCAGAATTATATTTAACTTTGTGTGTTGCCTTCTAGACACATAGTGGTAGGAGTTGCTCCTTGCTCCCATAGCTTTGCTGGGCTCAGTCCCAACATCAGTTCTCACAGGGTGGACTCTTGTGCCTCTAATTCTCCCAGGCTGGTTTTACATGTTGATAACTCCACAGTTCTCAAGTTTCTAAGCTGGCTCTGACCCCACTATTCTGTTTGGTATTGCCTTAGTTGGGGTTTTGTATAGCCACTCTGACACTCTGATAACTAAGCTATCTGTAATATCCATTAGAATCTAGGGAGAGTTGTCATGGCCCCACAGCCTGAAAAATCTGTGTGTCTGCAGGATTAATGTCATGTGGATGCTTCTAGTATCTGCTGTTTGTACCTTACAAAGATGCAGCTAAAGTTGCACCTGGAACCCCTTGATCCACTCCTGGGGTGGCTGAGGAGCACTGCAGTAGAATTCAGGGAGCCGTTATGTGAGGCATTGCACAGCATCACATGCTGAGGTCACATGGGTACCTGTCTTTAAATTTTGCCCTCACAGTTCTAGTTTGCCTTGAAGATCTCTAAGATGATTTTGGTTTTACTCTCTTCTTGTCATGATGAATAGAATCTGGCTTCCTCTATCCATATTAAATCTTCATAATTAATCTTCATAGTTAGCAACTTGCCATACTTTACTATCCTCTCCTGAAGTTACTTTTTTCATTCTTTACATGGCCAAGCTGAGAATTATACAAATTTTTATAATTCTCTTTCCTTTTTTTTAGAAAGGGGGGGGGAGAGAGAGAGAGAGAGAGAGAAGAGAGAGAGAGAGAGAGAGAGAGAGAGAGAGAGAGAGAGAGAGAGAGAGAGAAAAATTTTAATATTTATTTATTTAGTTCTTGGCGGACACAACATCTTTGTTTGTATGTGGTGCTGAGGATCGAACCCGGGCCGCACGCATGCCAGGCGAGCGTGCTACCGCTTGAGCCACATCCCCAGCCCCTCTCTTTCCTTTTTAATTATAAATTAAAACCTTACATCATTTGTCTCTTTAATTTTATTGTTTGCAGTTAAAAGAAGCCCACAGCTCCTTCAGTATTGTGAGTAGAGGCTGCCATGGTGGCGCGCACCTGTAATCCCAGCGGCTCAGGAGGCGGAGGCAGGAGGATTGTGAGTTCAAACCCAGCCTCAGCAATTTAGCGAGACACTAAGCAACTCAGTGAAACCCTGTCTCTAATAAAATAGGGCTAGGGATGTGGCTCAGTGGTCGAGTGCCCCTGAGTTCAATCCCTGGTACCCTCTCACCTCAATATTGTGCTTGGAAATTTCTTCTACCAGATAAGATATCCTAGTTCATAATTCTTTTAATTTTTTTTTTTTCAGTACTGGGAATGGAACCCAGGAGCACTCTACCACTGAGCAACATCCTCTGCCTTTTTTTACATTTTATTTTTGTTTTTTAATTTTAAGACAAAGTCTCTGTAAATTTCTAAGGCTGGCCTTTAATTCACAATCCTTCTGTTTTAGCCTTTGGAGTTGCTGGGATTACAGGCATGCCCTACCATGCCCAGTTAGTTTATCATTCTTAAACTTTACCTCCCATGAAGCCCATAGGGATGGACACAACTCAACCAAATCCTTTGTCACTTTGTTACAAGAATGCATTTACTTCAGTTTCCATATTCCTCATTTCCTTCTGAGGCATCTGTTACATTGAAATTAAGTTTCCAACATGTGATTTTGAGGAAGCTCATTCAAACAATAGCATGGCCCAATTTTTTAAATAAACAAATGACTTAAATAGATGTTTATTTTTAAATTGTATTTATTTATTTATTTTATAGTTGAATGCATTTTGACACATTGTACACAAATGGAGTATAACTTCCCATTCCTCTGGCTGTACATGGTGCAGAGTCACTCCAGTAGTGTCATCAAACACGTATATAGGATAAGAATGTCTGTGTCATTCTACCGTACTTCCCATCCCCACAATCCCACCCCTTCCCTCACTCCCTTGTACATTTCTTCAAATAAAATATAAAATGTCAGGCTCCAGTTTTGGGGGGCTTATGTTGACCAGGAAGGTCCAGCAACACTGTGATGGTACTCCTGGAGAGCGAGCAGTTCCTAAAGGAGCTGACCAGGCTCTCCCAGAACTGTTGGTTGTTGAGCAGCATGTACATCACCTTGAAGAAGGATGATGGTCGAACTAAACCTGCACCAAGGAAGGGTTCTGTGGAGGGCGTTGAGCCCTCAGACAACAAGTGTCTGTTGAGAGCAATGGATGGGAAAAAGAAGATCATCACAATGGTGAGCTCCAAAGAAGTGAATATGTTTCAGATGGCTTATTCAAACCTATTAAGAGCTAACATGGATGGGCTGAAGGAGAGACAAAAAGAGCAAAAGAGCAAAGCAGCACAGGGAGGCACTGAATCCCCTGCTTTTACCAAACCACTGAATTACTATATTTCCCTTTTTATTATAGTTTTGTTTATTAATCTAGGTTACTGGTTCCCTCATTAACTATTTTCATGTGATATCAGGGTCATTTTGGAGAGAAGAATGATTGCAGTGTTTACAAGGTAATTTTGGTAAGAAACTAGTTTATTTCAGATCTGTGATGCATAGTTATAAATCCCTAAATTAATTTTTAAAGTCTCTGTAGTCATCCCTGTGAAGAGCAATGTATCATTAAACACCTGTTTATCAGATATATATATATATATATATATATATATATATATATATATATATATATAGTCAATTAAGCACACATAAATATACTCAATATCATTGATCATTAGGGAACTGCAAACCCAAACCACAAGAGGATATTTCTTCACAACTACAAGGATGATTATAACCCAAAAAGAAAGGAGCATTGGTGAGGATGTGGAAAATTTGGAACATATTTGTGCATTATTGTTGGGATTATTGAATGGTATAGCCACTTTAGAAGATGATGTGATAGTTCCTAAAAAAATTAAATTATTATATGATCTGATAAATTTGCTTCTATTTTCAAAATAATTGAAAAGACTATACACACATGGTCATAGAAACATTATTCTTAATAGCCAAAGGAGAAGCAAATTCAAGTGTCCATCAGTGGGATGAATGAACAAACAAAATATAATATATACATAGGAAGGGATATTATTCAGCCTTAAAAGAGGAATTAAATTCTGACACATGCTACAACATGAATGAATCTTGAGAACCTTATGCTACATGAAATAGGCAGTCACAAAAAGACAAATACTGGATAAGGATGTAGCTCAGCTGTAGAACATTTGCTTATTATGTGTGAGGCCCTGGCTTCTATCCCCAGCACTGCAAAAAAAAAAAAAAAAAAAAAAAAAAAAAAAAAAAAAAAATTAAAGGAAAATACTGTATAATTACATTTATATGAGGTACCTGGAGTAGTTAAATCCATTGAGAAAGAAATAATGATGGTCTCTAGGGACTGGGAAAAGGGGAAAAATGGGGAGTTATTTCATGGGTATGAAGTTTTAGTTTTACAAGATGAAAACATTTCTGGAGTTGGGCTGCACACTAATTTGAATATCCTTAACACTACTGAACTGTATACTAAAAGCTATTAAGATGGTATACTTTATGCATAGTTTGCCACAAGTGAAATAAAGAACAGTGTGTGGGTGGTACACACTTTTGTAATCCCAGCAACTCAAGAGGCTGAGACAGGAAGATTGCAAGTTTGAGGCCAGCCTGAGCAACATAGTAAGACCCCGTCTCAAAAAACATATAAATAAAAAAGAATAAATATTAAAACCTTAAAAGGAATGGAAAGTAAGTTATGGCAATATTATGGAGAAATTCTGTCCCTGACAGACATAGTGGTGCACATCTATAATCCCAGGAACTTGGGAGACTGAGGCAAGAGGATCACAAGTTCAAGGCTAGTCTTGGCAAATTAGTGAGACCCTGTTTCAAAATAAAAAAAATAAAAAGGAATGGGAATGTAAATCAGTAGTACAATGCCCCTGGGTTCAATCACACACACACACACATAAATAAGTAAAAAAAAAAAAATATATATATATATATATATATATATATATATATATATGACAAAATACATTGTCAATGAGAACGTAAAATATTACAGCTGCTATAGAAAATAGTTTAACAGTTTCTCAAAATTTAACAGATTCTTATCATATAATATAGCAATCCTACTTCATGGTATGTACCCCAAAGAATTATAAAAACAAACCCAAACAGATGTTTGCATGGCAATTCTCCATGCAGAATTATTCACAATAGACAAGATGTGGAAGTAACTCCAGTGTCCATTAAAAGATGCATGGATAAAGAAAATATAGTTTGTATTGTATATATAATGGAATATTATTTAGCCATCAAAAGAAGAAGTTCTGCAGGGCTGGGTGGCACACAACTATAATCTCAGCTACTCAGGATGCTGGGGAGGAGGATCACAAGTTGGAGTCCAGACTGGGCAAACAGTCCAGACACTGTCTCAAAGTTTAAAAAGTGCTGGGGATGTAGTTTAGTGGTAGAGTCTCCTGGGTTCAATCCCTAGTACCACCCACATACAAAAGGAGTGAAGTTCTGATACATGATACAATATGATTGAGTCTTGAAAACATTATGCTAATGAAATAAGTCAGAAACAAAAGAGCAAATATTGTATGGTTCCACCTATATGAAATACCCAGAATAGGCAAATTCTTAGAGACAAGTAGATTATAGGTTGCCAAGGGTGGAGTGAGGGGGAGGCAGGGAGTGGGGAGTTATTACTTAATGGTTACAGAGTTTCTGTCTGGGATGATGAAAAAGTTTCAGAAAGAGATAAGTGGTGATGGTTGCACAACACTATGAATGTAATTAATACCACTGAATAGAATGCTTAAAATAGTTAAATTGGAAAATATCATGCTACAGCTACAAAAATCCTACTGCTTTAATGATGTAATTTACTGTAATCCTTTCTCCATGTTAGGTACTATTCTAGGTACTGGGGAATCAATAGTAAAGAACATTCTATTGAGAGGAGTCAGATGAATCAAGAAACCTAGTTTTTAGCTTCAATATTGTTGTGGTCCTGACTGACACTTTGTCTTCCGTCCTCTGTGATCACTTTCTGAATCCTGACTTGGAGCGAACCTGGGTCCAGGCCCTGGAGACCTAGATAGTAGAAGTAGGTACTTCATAGTCCAGGACAATGGACATCCCCTCCCTTCCCTCTGCTCCCTAGGGTGCTGATTTTGCCTTCTCCGGAGCAGGTTTGAGCCTCAAACTTAAGAATTGCCTTGAAAAAGAGAGTCTAGGGCAGGCATGGGAAACCTAGATGTTTCTAATTCTTTACCATATTCCCTTAGTCCCTGGTGCCTCACTGCCTTGAGCTCTCCTTGACTTCATTCCTTGGTTGCATGGAGAGTTCTCAGAACTGTTCTTCCCTTGTTTTCTGGTGAGATTTCTCTGATTGGTTTTCCATTCCCCACTCCCTCCCACCTTGAACTCTGTGTCCACAACTCCAAAACTCAACATGGACAAAATAATGGACCAATACAAGTCCCAGTTCAGTTTTAAATTGGGTATTTGGTGACAAGGAGGGAAAAAAGTCCTTTACTCCTCAGTTTGGCAAACATTTAATAAGCCTTTATTTGTTCACAGTTGCTGATAACATTGCTTCACAATGAAAATATGGTAATAACCATTTCTTGAATACCTATAGTGTACAAGACAGTTTCCAATGATCAACTCACTGAATTTTCATACAACCCTGTGTGGGGGCAGGAATTGTCCCCGCTTTTCAGCAGAAAAGCTGAGGTTCAGACATGGTTGAGGTCACTGAGGGTGTCTAAAACCCATAGACCATCCCACAGTTCATGTGTACCCTACAGAATCTGTGTACCATGCACTCTGCCAACACTTCACCTCAGAATACTCCCTGCAACCCTCAGAATATACTGCATGCTTCACCCCAGGCTTCTCTTATCTTACACCTCATATCTCCCTTACACAAACTGCCAATGTTTTTTTTCCCCTGCACACCACAAAGAAACTGACATGCACATCCAAACAGAGTTTACAAGGACACTGACACAACTTCCCCATCCCTAACACTTCACACACACACACACACACACACACACACACAAACACACACACACAAACTTTCATGGTGTGATAAGCCATGCCTTTCACCCCCCACTTAAGTATGAATACATCTCTCAATAATACACAGTCACAACTGTGTTCTAGCAACAAAACTGGACACTGAGATTTTTCACTCATTTTGCCACATCCCCCTCCCTATCTCCTTTCTCCCAGGACTTCCCTCTATTCATACCAAGATGTTTTCATTTCACTCATATACAGATGCCATGCAGTCTCATACACATTAACAGGACCCACATAGGCCATACCCAGGGATTTACAATCCTCCACTGTCCTGTCTGTGTACCCAAACTGTGGCACTTAGAATCACATAGCAGAGGTGGCCGTGCAGACAAAACTAAAGATAAGACTCTCTGATAGAGCTACGATTGCCTTCCACCTTCGTTTGTACCTTTCAATACTGGAGTTTTGTTCTTATGTTTTCCTTTATGGTAGGAGAGGTAGAACCACAAAAGCATCTCTTCTGTCCCCTGTTTTCTACACGTTCTTCCCAGGGTAAGGAGGAATTGGAGATGAGGGCAAAAAGTGATCTGGTATAGCAAAAACCTCCTGGATTCAGGTAAAGGCAAGGATATGGGGGCCTTCTCCAGGAATCTAGGTTTAAGATTGACAATTGATTACTTATTCTACACCTGCCACTGCTTTTTCCATGGTCCCAAGAAAACAAGGGTATCAGGATCTTTCTTCACTGCCAATGTACCGTTAGGTTACTCCTTCCCTGACCCTGTGTTTCTATTTACCCCATATGTCAAAGAGAAACTGGTTATCTCTATCACCACAAGGAATGGTGAATGCAAAGGGGCTGTATCAGGCCTGGTCTAGGCTGAGAAATTTCTGTGTGACTAAATTTTATCAAGGTCTCCCTTTGAGTTAGAGGCCCTCCAGGGGTTTGTATGTATCATTTTAAGCCCAGAAATGAGTTGTCAAAGGCTTTGTGTAGTAGTGTGATGAGTAAGCTGGCAGGCTTTGTGGTCAAACTACCTGCACTTGAATCCTTGCTAGTTGTATGACCTAAGGCAAATTGCTAAAAGTGCTTTGACCTCAATAACTGCCATAGAAATGGTGCTCATGATGATATCTCTTTCACAGGGTTGTTTCACAGATTAAATGAGAGGATGCAAAGTGCCTGGTCCATTGAAAAGAATCAATAGATATTGAGTGTATATATGAATAAACTAACAGATTTATTGGGCTTCGGATCACAGATCCAATAAGTATCAGATGTAATACCTGCTACTCAAGTATGTGTTCCACCAAAATGTAAGCTTCACAAGGGCAAAGCTATCATGTATGTTTTGTAAACTAAAGCTCCTAGAACAGTGCCTGGGACATAGTAAGTACCTTTTTAAAAATCTGAA